TTTTGGTAACCCGATGACTACTGCGCTACAGATTGTTACGGTGATTAGTTATTTTCTTACTGGATTATACTTTCTTCGAGCTAGATGGGACTTAACTGATGCTAGGTTGGCAATGGAGCGGGCGAAGACTCGTGGTGGTAGTTGACTGGCCATTGCTACAATAGTATGAGTCAAAATGCCTTGACTGTATTAGATGGCCCGCTCCCCCGGGGTAGGGTGCCCCCGCTTGGTTGGGTCCCCGGTATGACCAGGAGGGGAAGAACGGGTGAGTGAATGTATGCGCTCACACGATGGCATCAACAGGTAAGCGGAAAAGACTTGATCATCAACAAGAAGCAAGATTCTGACTTTCGGGCTGTGGCATTCTCAGCATTGGCTCGACCTATCAACTTCCTTAAGGTTCACCATCTCTTATCTACTCAATATAATCCACTTGAAACTTACAATCTGCTGTGCTTTTCTTTTTTGCAGTGGATCCAAGATAATGCTGATAAACTTAAGCCACCCGTGAGCTGCTTTTACCTCTCGACTCTTCGTTTCCCTTTCACTCGAGATTTTGTTAATGTATCTCTATCTGCCCAGGTCAACAACTTTTGTATCTATGACGGTCAGCCTCTTTTTTATTTGGAAAACAAAATATCAAACCAATCAGCTCTCCTGACCAGAACCATCTCTGCCTAACAATATCATTTCAGGAGAAGACTTGTGCGACGCATATCTCTTGAAAAATTCCAATTCCCCCCCAAAAAAATAAACAAAAAACCTTAACTCAATCTTTTTTTTTTTTTAGTATCACGATGGTGGTAGGGGGTCCCAACTCGAGAAATGACTATCATGTGAACACGACGGAAGAATGGTTCTACCAACACAAAGGGGACATGATACTGAAAGTGATCAGCGAGAATCGATTCCAAGAAATAGCGATTCGGGAGGGCGAGATGTTCTTATTACCGGGTAAGCATCATGACCCCCGCTCTGAATCACAGAGGGGTTGTGTTGAGTTAGTTGTATTTAGGCAATGTGCCACATAATCCGTGTCGATTTGCGGACACGATTGGGTTGGTGATGGAGCGCAAGAGGCCCAAGGATTCTCCTGACCGTCTCTGCTGGTTCTGTCCCAACCAGCAGGCTCATCCTAGCCCCCACTTGGTCAGAGAAGTCGTCTTCCAATGCACCGATTTGGGCTCACAACTCAAACCCTTCATCAACGTCCGTCTTGCTCCTTTTTCTATTCTCTCTGACTCTCAATCATTCATACGTACTTACGTGATTGGGGCTGCTTCTACAGGAGTGGATGGATAACGAAGAATTAAGGAAATGCGCTAGCTGTGGTACCATCGCTCCACCGCGTTAAAGGGATCCCTCTCCCTCTCTTCTAAAAAGGGCGAAATTCGTTGCATACAAATATGCCCGGCTAGTTCCGTATTGTGTCACGTACTGCGGACTCTTTCGTCGCTGGGACTCGTTATCTCCTCCTCCTGGTCAACTGCGAGGCAAAACTCCGACTTTTCAAAACTCGCACAAAAACAACCGATCTCTTGAAAATTTTATTATTTCTATAGTTGTATGGTTACATTGCAGTTCAGACACGAAGTACATAAACACGTCGCGTGTAACTCTTGTACGCGTCCCTCGCGCCCGCAACAGACCAAAATACTTATTAAAGCTTGTTGTATTTCTCATTTCCCGCTCTTCATGGGATTTTATTTTGTTAACATTCTGACTAGCATTCAAGAAAATATTTATTTTTTTCACTTCTCTTTGAAAAGTCTGAACCCTGCTACCCAGAAAACTCGACCTGTTTCTTTACACTACTCACGATCAAGTTACTCACATTCCCGCTTGATCCCCATATCTATGACCTAATCCAATAAGGTATATTACCATCCGGGGTCGTGTAACATTTTCCTTGTTACTGGTACTGGCCCGTCGGACAAGAATAAAAAGTGGGCAAAATAGAGAGAGGATAAATCTGTTGCGATGGTGGTAATAAGATAAGCCCATGCAGAGAGGGCAGTCCTGACTTGCTGTCTATACCTGGCGGAGAGGGGCATGCTCAGCAGGGTTGTCTAGCGCAGTCCTTGTCATATTGCAGCGTATGTAAATGTCTTGATCACCAGAAGGCCCGGTCGGTCCAGCGTCCTCACATCTTCTTTCACCAATCACAGAAAGCTGAAGCTGGCAATTACACCTTTGTTTGTCAGAGAACTGGCGTTCAGCCTCTGAGCATCACTTGCACGCGTTGTACTTTGTTCAATGGTATTGAACTACATACCCCTCACGCACTTGGATCACCCACTTGCTGGCGAAATTCTTCATCGGGAGATGTCGCCGACGTTGTACATTGGCTAAGCTTCAATTACTTATACAAGACATATCTGCTTCCTCCATCAGTCACCTCCCTGACCAACAGTTTTTTTATTTATTTATTTATTTTTTGAAGTTGATAGCTTGACAAGGATAGAGGTGTATGAACGAGGGCTCCCATTCCTCCGGCAACGGACAGCAGCAACACGACCCCCAAGAGTAGTCTCTGGACTTTTTCGCCGTATGAAAGCTGCAGATGGGAGACAGAGCAGCTGGACAGCAAGTGTCGGAGCAGGGGAAGATCCAGTTCTGCACCTTGGCCACACGCTGCTCGGTTGTTCTTCCCCCTCCAGCCCGGGCCGGCTGCTCTCCGCGCCAACTCTCGGCGCCCGGCGTCGGCAACCGTCTTCTCCTGCTGGGCCCTCCTCCGCTCCTCAGCAACCGCCTCTTCCCCTCCTCCTGCTTGCCGTCCTCCGTTGCTTCCTCTCCTTCCTCTCGCTTTGTCTCCCCTACCACCACCACCTCTTCCTCCTCCTTCAACAACAAAAACTCTCGTCAATCACTTTTTATATCCTTCTTCTCTTACCAGCACTTCTCTGCTCTTCCTCTCCCTCCTGCTTCGTGTATATAGAACACACTTTTTTTTTTCCCAATAAAACAAAAAAAGGTCTTGCTTGAAACTGCTATCGTGGATTTTCAAGCCTTCCACTCTTCGCAACATTTTACATCCTGATTATAGGTCCCATTTCTGGCGCTTGAACGATTATCCCATTGAAACAGTATGCTGTCGATATGGAAGGCAACGGTAAGTGAGTTTATTGCAGGTATATATCAAGAAAGCAAAAAAAAAAAGAAAAGAAAAGAAAAGCTGAATGCTAGAGGGGATTAGGTATTTGAGGGACTAGGGAGCATGTGTCTGGTGTGGCTAGTGGGGGCCTCGTCGACGGCGCTGGGGGCGGGGGACAGCATACTGACGGGGCTAGCATTGGGGATACTATATACGCTGGGGACGTCGCTTTCGATGTACACGTTAGGGCCAGTGAGTGGCGGACACATCAACCCTTTCATCACGTTGGCCACCATGGCTGCCGGCACTCTCTCGCTCGTGCGTGGGGCCGCCTACGTGATCGCCCATCTCATTGGCGCCATGGCCGGCGGCGCCCTCGTCGCCGCCGCCCTAGGACCCGCCGCTCGTAACACCTCCAATGGCGGCTGCATCCTCAGGTCCCTCGATGCCTTCAGCCTCAAACAGGCCTTTGCTCTCGAATTCATGGCCGCTTTCTTCCTCATTCTCCTCCTCCACGGTCCGCTTTCTCTTTCTCTCTCTCTCTCTCTCTCTCTCTCTCTCTCTCTCTCTCTCTCTCTCTCTCTCTCTCTCTCTCTCCTGATACTCTTCGTTGGCTCAACCTCCTTCCCCCTTTCTCCTTCATTTTGTTTTAGGTACTGGACTCGCTCATCAACAGATCAACAATCATGGCAACCGTCTCGCGCCTCTTTTGTTTGGATTATCAGTCGGCCTGATGTGCGCATCTTTTCCATGTTTTTCCTTCTTGCATCAAGCGCCCACTCAGGACGCTTCTGGTGTGATTCGGATTTACTAAAAAATAAAAAGAGGTTCCTTTTTTTTTTTGTGCCATCATATTCGTAGAACCTTTGCCACCTCGGGATTCGCCAATACTCACGCATACATCGGTTCGTCGGGTTATCCTAACATCTGCTTTGGACTCGCCGCGGGCATTATGCAGTTCCAATCATGTGAGAAATGATCCGCTTGCTTTTTTTTGGGTAAGATAAAAAAAAAAGTTGTGTTGATATATGTGGTTATTTTCTCCATGGTGAATGTGACAGCACATTGGGTTTTCTGGATACCCGGATTCGTCGCGGTGGTTGGATTTGGACTCGCAACCAGACTCATGAAGCCCTACGACCTCGCCGAACAGGTACTTGATGATGATATGTCCATCATCCACACCATGCGCTATCGCGACCAAAATATCGTGGCTACCGTCGAGACCGAAGTCAAGAGCTCTAACGCTTCCCAGGTTTGATTTTGTTCAGAAAGGTTTGCTTTCTCACCTCAAGATCACCTTTCTTTTTTCAAGAAAAAAAAATGTTGTGGACACCCCCCCCCCACAAAACAAAATCTTCAAAAAAGAAATCGTGCAGAGCTTATCACATCATCATCACTCACATGAACTCTTGGCCACAGGCTGATTCTTAAACAATGACAGCTGTATCACCAATCCTTCTTTTATTTTTCTTTCCCTTTCCTTTGTCTGTTACTCAAGGACACACAATTTTTTGTACAATGTAAACACATAAGCTGTATGATTGAGAAGTTCTCCAATCGTCACACTCTACTCACATTCCAATCCTTTTTGTTTCTATATTATGACTCCAAGGAGTACTTGCATAAAACTCATGATCAATTCTTTTTTTGTACATATATAAGAAGCGTTCATAAAATACTACCTGAGAATCCTATGCTGATCCATAAATGAAGATTGGTGTTATACTTTAGAAGCTACAGGTTTGAGGTTCTAGGGACAAGATTTTTGAGAAAAAAAAATCCATTGTGTCATCACAAATTATATAAAATTCATATTTCATGAATAAAAATCATTTCATGTACACAATCATATGATGGCACAAACACATGGAAACAGATTACCAAAATCAACACTCTGGATGTAGAGCAGATAGCCTAGTGGTAAAGGTATCACTCCTAGTAAAGTGAATTATCTGATGCTGAGGTCCCAGTTTCAAAACCTGGTCTGGTCATCCTCTTCCTTGAAATATATATCTGCAAAAATTGTATCAAATTTAACAAAGATCAAAGACAATACTCCAAAAACTGTGTTAAAACATCCAAATTATTGGGAATAATTCTTATAGCAATATCTTAGTCCAGGAAACCCAAGTCTCCTGACCACCTCCAAATATTGTATGCAAATCAACTGCCAATAAAAGCTGCATTACTGCAAGCCTCCCTCTTCACTTACAATATTTACAATCCATCAATTCTCCAACAATATAATATCTGGGCCCTGGAAATACTTGGCTCTGCATTCACTGACAAGAATGCTGTGGTGGGATGCTTCATCCTCAGCTTAAATCTTGAGATCCATCTCACAGACTGGTTGATTACAAAATGAATGTCAGCTCCTTCCTGTCTTATCCAATCACACTCTCACTGAATCTTTGAATCATGGTAAAATGCTGACATAATATTCATTGTGTACCTTTGGAGAATAGCCATCATAACTTTTTGGTTTTGGTGTGCCCCTGAGCCTGAGGGTGGCACATTCTTTTGGCCTGTGTTGGTGAGTTCAACTTACTACACCATGAGCAGTCACAGAAGCGTTGCCACCCATGTTGCTTCCTTGTGAAGAGCCCTGGTATGACTCAGCCCTCATCTGATTCAAAATGTTAAATAGGCCAGCCAGTCAATATCATCAACAATAATCCTCCAAAAAAACAAAAGCATGTTCCCTCTGATTCTGAAAAAAATAATGATAAAAAATCAACCCAATACCTTCCAAGAAAAAGGGAAAGAAGACTGCAAAGAACCCCACTTGCTACCAATCATCCCAGGTTATCAATCTTGCTCAAGACTTGGACAAGGAAAATTCCAAAGTAAAATGTAAACCCCAAAGGAGGGATCCAGATTTTTATGATGTCAAGAACTTTGTTTCTGAACAATATTTCTGCAAGGGGGATGTGAGTTAAATTTAATTTATTAAATTTTTATTATACATATTATTTAGGGATAAATTCTAATTTACTTGTGGTTTGGCAGCCTGATAATAAGCCACTGAGTACCTACAAGTGTTTATGGTACATGAAGGCAGTCTGTGAATCTGGAAGCAGTCTTTTGAATCTTTTGACTCATCAAGATGGCTCTTGTCAAACTGGAAGGGTTTCAGATGGCTGTCCACAACATCAAAAAGCCATTGACAAGGGTTCCAACCTCCCTGCCACTTCTCTGCATGATAGTAAAACCAAGACAGATACAAAAGAAGGCTCAATCTCTAGTCACTTCAACCAAGCAGAAAATTCTGACAAAAAAAATCTCAATAGAATCCTATCTATGTTGATTTTCTGTTAAGCAATCTCATGGAACCATATTGAAGACCAATATCTTTGAGCAGCCTTTCAATACTGTGAACCTGGATCAGAGTTGTTCAAACAGAAATGGGCTGCAACCTCTGGGTGTGTCATATACTTGAACTTACAAGAGGTTCTCAATTACTTAAACGTATGTCACTCACTTCATTACCAAAATTTTCTATTGTGATTTGTTGATATTATAATATCTTCCAACAGGCTCCCAATAGAAAGTTTAACTTAATCCATGATGTGTGGAAAACAAAAGGAAAACACTTTGGTTTCATTGGTGCATCAGTCTCATTTATTGATAATGATTGGAATTACATCATTCAACATCTTTCTCTCAAGTTGGTTTCCTGGCACCACAAACACCACCCCAAAAGGGGAGGCACTGATTGTATTTTGCCTTGATAGAAATCTCTTACCTAGGAATTACTCATCATTAACTCCCTTCTTACAGTAGTTTAACTCAGTTATAAACCTGTTGTTACATCCGCAAAACTACAAGTAATGACCTTTGTCATGGGGCTTCAGAGGCAGAGGTTACAAATGTGTATAGCCCATGTTTGAGGGTTGTT